AAAAAAAAAAAAAAAAAAGGTTAGAACCTTGTTATGATGTGAATTATCAGCCCAAAAGTTTCACCTCCTTCAGAGGTTAAAGAACATACTATATTTCAAGCAAGTCAAGATCTATAAAGTGTACTTGTTCTACAGTACAAGGGTTAGTTTTTTTCCTAGTTCTCACCACAAGGATGACTTTCTATCACATAAGCATGTTTTCTAAAAGTAGTGCATTATTCTGTTTTCTCCCATAGATTCTTAATTCTTTACCTGTTCTCCTAAGTCACACTAAAAATATATTGAATCCAATAAGTATAATAGTGATATAAAAGTTCTAATTAAGATGTTTCAAAATTTAGGTAATATTCATCACATAGAGGAACAGAGTCAGGATAGTTGGGATTTTTTCTTTCTTTCTTAGTTTCTTTTTCTTTTTTTTTTTTTTGAGTTGGAGTCTTACTCTGCCACCCAGACTGGAGTGCAGTGACCACTCCCGGCCACAGCAGCCTCGACCTGCTGGGCTCAGACGATCCTTCCACCTCAGCTTTCCAAGTAGCTGGAACTACAGGCGCGCGCTACCACGCCTGGCTTATTTTTGCTTTATTGTGGAAATGAGGTCTTGCCAAGTTGCCCAGGTGGTTCTCGAACCCGCAGGCTCAGGCAATCCACTCACCTCAGCCTCCCAAAGGCGCGGGATTACAGACTGAGCCACCGAGCCGGGCTAATTTTTTCTTTTAAATTGTAAAGCAAATGAAACTTTGGAGTGTTTAAGGACACTAACAATGATGTGTATTATCAAATGAGGGTCATTGCCAGGCAGTTAGCCAATGGAGGAGAAGCTGCAAGCTTAACTGATGACTTCAATTGAAGCATTGTAGGTCAGGAAGTTCTTGTCTTAATAGAACCTCAGCTGAGATTGCAGAGCCAGCTGCTCAACTTGTATATCTACCGCTCCCTGCCCACCCCCTCACTCTCTGGGGCTGGAGATGGAAGGGGAATAATACATTAAATAATAGATCACTTTTGCTATAGATAATCTCTAAAGTAGACCAGTC